TTTGCTACATTTAGCTTTAAGCTAGTGCAATGCTACTTTTAATCTTTTAGCTTGTGTTTAGCTATTTTAACTTTTAGATAACATTTAGCTTTTTTAGCTAGTATTTTGCTACATTTAGCTTTAAGATAGTGCGGCGCTACCTTTAATATTTAGCTTGTGTTTAGCTATTTTAACTTTAGATAATGCTTTGCTAATTTTGATTTTAGCTAGTGTTCAGCTATTTTTAACTTTTCTCTATTTTCTGCAACTTTTTTTAGCTAGCATTTTGCTGCMTTTAACTTTAAACTAGTGTTTTTCTACTTTTAATCTTTAGCTAGCGATTAGATATTTTAGGTTTTAGATTATGTTTTGCTACTTTTATTCTTAGGTAGCATTTTGCTAAAATTAGCTTCAAGCTAGTGTATTTCTACTTTATTTCTTTAGCTTGAGTTTAGCTATTGTTTTGCTTGCATTTGACTACTTTTACATTTTAGTTACTCTTTAGTTATTCTACTTTTAGCTTGCATTTGGTTTTATTAAGCTACTGTTTTCATACTTTTAGTTGGTATTTGGAGGCTCTTCAAGCTAACATATTGCTATTAATTTTTACTTAGCTTTAGAGGTTTTTTATGTTTATCTTTTAGCTTTAGCAACACAATATTAACTCCTTCAGCAATTAATTTCCATTCACTTTACAGCATTTTAGCAGAAAATGATAATTTATTATTATTTTTCTAGTTTATTATTGGCATACTGTAATGTTAGCCTGAATCAGCCAAAGTAAAGTGTCTAAAAGTTTACTCCTGATCCACACGCTGACCCTCTACCTCCACTCTGCCGTTTATCTGCAGCTCTGACCTCTCTGTGGAATGCATGGCTGTAAAAAGCCTATAAAGTGGCTTTTGCTCTCTGTCTCTCCTGACCCTCCTTCACCTGCTTCAGCTCTTCTCTCCTTGTTTTTCCACCCCCCAGCCACTCCTTCCTTCCTCCACCCATGAACCATGGCCGCTCTGWAAAACAGCCCAGCAGATGTGTGACGGCCGACGCTTTTCACAGCTGTCAGCTCTCGTGTCAGCTCCTGTTTGGCCTTTAACTCCCCACACTAAGTGTGTGTTCCTGCAATGACCACCAGCAGCTGCGGTACCGACATCAGGGATGAAATCCTACCTTG